AATAATTGTTTTTCATTTTTACTTATATACAACCAAGGACTCAATTTTATATTAAGAAAAAAGTATCTCTTAACTTAATGTTTAGGATATTAATTCAATCCTTTTAGAAAGCATTAAAGTTGCAATCAAAAGCATTAAAAAAAATTATTTTCATCGTAGTACTTAAAAAATTAAGGCCAAGAAATAAGTGATAAAGCTATCGCCAATAATTGTATTCTCAATGTATCAAAGAGAGATAATTCTCAACTTGGTATCAAAGGAGCTCATTTGATAGCAAGTATAAACAATAAAATTGTGACCAAAGAATGAGTGATATAGCTAGGGCTAAAGAACAATTTTTAATTTGAAGATAATTCTTAATTTGATACTAAGGAGGTTCATTTGATAACAAGTATTAATAATAGAATTATGGCAAAAAAACTGACTGATAAAGTTGTCGCCAATGAGTGATTCTTAATTTCATACTAAAGAGGTGAATTCTTAACTGAAAAAAAAAAATCAAACTACACTATATATTAAGTAGATAATTTTTTCTTAACTTAATTCTAAGAAAATTAATTTGATTTAAAGTAGTAAGTGTTAAATTACGATCAATAAAAGTGGATTCAACATAGTGACCATATCAACTTTGTATCTTAATTTGATTTTGAAGATTAATCTCATGTACAATTGAAAAAGGCTTCTAACACAGTTTACGATAAAGAAATAGGTTCTCTACCTGATTCTAATGAGTTTAACTCTAAATCCGAATCAATAAGCATTATTCTCTTTTTATCTTTCCATCCAAAAAGATGTGTCTTCTACCCAAATAAGAGGAGTTTAACTTAATTCTCTCTTTCGAGGAATTAACTTCTCTACTTGATGGGATTAGAACTATTCCAACACCTCTTTCTTGTTACTAGAATTGAAAATGTGTTAACAAATCTAAAAGTTTTTTAAACTTGATAACTTTTGATTGAATAATTGATATATCAAATTTTTCAAAGAGAAAATGGATCATCATAGTTAGCATGAATTATTGCAATCACATGCCTTTGAGGATTCTGATGAGTTGGAAATGGATTATTTTGAATTTCATTGTTTCCAATAAACACTTCTCTTGCTTGCACCTTTCGATGGAATATTTAATGAAAATTTTTACATTCAACAAATGGATAACGAATCGTTTGGTGATAGTTACAATACCTTGGGTTGGACTTTTCTTTTGTTGTTGGTGGTTATAAACATAAAATAGATTCACATTTCCATCTTTAATCCATTCTTGAAATAATGCTTTTGCTCTATCCATTGAAACTGAAAATGGTAGAAAATCACTATCATCATCTTGTTTTTTTCTTTGATTATCTCTTTTATGATGCATATTAGGATGAAAAGGTCTTATTCTCTCTCTTGCTCCTCATTGAATTGCATTCATTGTAGAAGCATTCCTTCTAATAAAAAGATTGGCTCCTCATTGCCTAAGAATCATATTATTGGTTTTTTTTATAGCTTCAACTAAAGTAACAAAGGTTAAAAGAGATAAATTCTCCAAATGCACTTTATACTCATCAAACATTCCTTGGTTTTATACTTTCACCAATTCTTTCTTATTATGAGAATCTTGAATGTCCAACACTTTTTTCTTGAAACGTTGGATGTATTCCATAAGATCTTTTTGTGACTTCTGGCATTCTCCTCCCAAGTCAATCAAAATAACCCTTTCTTAGGTAAAGAAAAACTTTTCTCCAAACATATTATACATTTGACTCCATGTTTCAACAAAGCTAGGTGTAAGATAGACATAACAGGTGTACATTTTTTTCGTAAGAAACTTAGAGAATTCTTTCAACTTTAAATCATCATCCAATCTAGCTATTCCAAGAGTTTCTGTAAACTTCATTACATGTTCACAAGCATCTCCAATCTTACCATTGAATTGCTTAAACTTAAGACTAGTATAGTACTTGGGATACAGTTTAGCAGCCACTCTAGCATGATATGGTAGTTTAAGATAAAATTTAGAAAAGTTCAAACTCTTATTCTTCTCTTCAAGCAACTTCTAAAGTTCTTCTTTAGTGACAAAACCCAGAGTTATGGTTGGAAGAAAAGTCATAGCGGAAGTACTAAAAACTAAGGTGTTGTTCACACCAAGATTTTCAATAACACCAAGATTTGACATATCTGCAATGTTTTCTCCATTTCCATTAGCCAAAAGGAAAGCTCTATTAGAAGTATTTCCATTCCCATTAGTAGCAGTTTGGGCTTGAGATGTTGTGGCATTGGAATATATGAGTCGGAAGATAGTTTTCTCTAATTTTTGCATTATCTCTTGGGAATTTTGAATCATCATAGTTTCCTCTAATTTTTGCATTATCTCTTGGGAATTTTGAATCATCTTCATCAATTCTTAAATATAGGTAGGGGTCTAAGCATTTTAGTTTCCAATAGAATTTTTCATTTTTTTGGGCAAAGCTAGATCAGAAATTGTTTTACTTAATGCAATCAATCCTTTCCCAGTGGAGTCACCAAAATGTAAATAGGTTCTTTGTTGAGGTGAGAAAGTGTTGCAAACAAGTAAAATAGGATGTGCTGAGAGATGACGGAAAGGAAGATTGGAGCAGACCCTGAAGTATTGAATGCGATGGTAAGTGGTGAAGTAAGGCTGAATAAATAAGAGAATGAGATTGAGAAAAAAGATTTAGGAAGAGAGAATTACAAAGAGAACTGAGTAAGTTTGGCAGAAGTTTCCCAAAAATCCCCCATTGAACTGTGGAAACTTTTATTTATAGGTCTTCAAGAATAGAAGTTACATATCTTGAGCATTGAATAGAAATAATGACGAATAATAAAAGAATTGACCGTTACGAAAGGTATTAATGTATTGATTAATGTGAGTCTAATTAGCTTTTAGTGATAAATATAGTAAACATAAAAGTTTTCTATCTATTCTGAAAGAAAATGAGAAGCACTCATATTTCAAGGAAATGTTAAGAGGAAACCTCTTTACTATCTCCATATCTGATCCACCAAACCAAACTCTCTAGTACATCCCAATAATGAAATTAACCTAAGAACCCTGCCATATTCCTGAGTTATTTTCACTTTTTTTTTTCAATGAAGTAACATTCGGTGAAGCGTCTTTTGTGAAATAACTCTTAATGAAACAACTTATGTTTCAAGAGTTTTTTTGTAAAGGTATTGCTTTTGTTCCTTGAGAAAGTTATTCCAATAACCGTTGTTTCATGAAAGAATTGTTCCTTGAATAATTGTTTCGTAAACAGCTATTTTGTAAAAAGGTTGTTCCATGAATAACTATTCCATAAAATAACCTTCATTGAAACAATCTTATCACCTATTCTGTAAAATAGCTTTCACTAAAATAATCTTAACACCTGTTTTGACTTATTCTCAATTTAACAACTTTAGAAAAATTTAAAAGAATAAAATATTAGTAACCAAAATCAACTATCTACACCCATCATAGAAGAGACTAGAAAGAGAGTTGATGCCGACAAGAATGATAAGTCTATGAAGGACCTTGTTCTCATGCTTTTTGAAATTGCTTCCCTCAACTCTAGTTTTAAATTTGATGAGACCAACCCCTTTGGCAGCAGAATCTACGGTATGTTGAAACTTAGTTTGAGCATCAATGAAGATATGCTACTGACAATATTGTTATGCCATTTTTGGTGGAAAGTGGGAAAATGGCTAAACAACAATGGTCTAGAATGGTACAAGATCTTGTTAAAAAAGGGAAGCTGACAAATTGTATTGAAGTTTATTATATTTTTGGGAGTATGGAAGGAAAGCTCAGCAAAGACCAGTTTATAAATAGGATATTTGTTTTTAACGACGGTGAATTTGATCAAGCCAATGCGAATAGTTATAAATTTTGGGAGCAATTGTGTTTCAGTATTAACAGTGATAGTGATGAAGATGTAGAGAATTATGTGAACTGGGAGGAGAATTTGAAGAAAATACAGAAGCATCAAAAGGTGTTTGAGGAGAAGCGGAACATCCTGGTGCAGCAGCTCTATAAGCTAGTACATATGAATCTTAATCCTGATCATGCCGCTTGGAAATGTTATTTTGTACTTAGTTCTCAGTTTAAGTTCTTTGATCCTTGGGGACAAGGATCAGCTGTAGGGGAGGGTAATGTGATGAATCCTTACGCCAGCAAAGGTAATGATATGAAGGAACCAAGATTGATTACTGATGCAATGATGGGAGCTGATACAAGTGCTAGAATTGGTGCTGAACCAGAAGACTGGCAGAGCAAGGAACAAGTACACTAAGAAGGAAGCAAACAAAATTGGAAGCTGTATAGAAGGAACGAAAGCAAAAGGTTCTAGAAGGGAAGAAATGGACAAATGAGCTGGCAGACCGTTAGCTAACAAGCATATAAGTGACAATTGTTGAAGTTAGTTATTAAAATGCATTTTTTATGATTGGTTCAGTGTTTTAAGAATTTTGGTAGCATGTGCCTATAAATAAAACCACCTTGTAACGATTTCACCATGAATGAAAATTTCTGTCTCTATTCTTCCTTTTCTCTCTTTTTCTACTCTATATCTCTCTATTTTCTCTTCTCTGGTCTATTCTCTCTTTCTGTTCCTCTGCTATTCTTTCTTAAGACAATTGTTCCGTGACATACCCCTAAACATACCCTCTTTGTTGGTTGATTGCGTTTCTTTAACTTTTATTCGAGTCCAGCGATGATCTCAGCGGTTGTTTGAGTACCGTCTCCTAAGAACATTGGATGCCAAGGCCGTTATAAGCATTTGGGAATTTCATTGGCCTTTTGTCATTTCTCATACCTAATCCAAATCCGATCCTATCTCTGCCCGTTTGCCACCTTTACCTACTTCAGCAAAAGTATTTACAGTGGTGAGACTTTTATCTCCGATGCTTACATATATCTTTTAAATCCTATATTTCAATTCATAAATGGCAGCACACGCTTGGTAGAATTAATATGGAAATTATGAAGCATAACAAGGCTGGTCATGGAGACAACCAAATTCTTTGATTTCTTTGATTAAAGTTTCAAGTTGGACTGTCTCACCATGTATATGTTCTAATTCATTTCTATGTTGGACTTTTAGTTTATTCTTTCCCAGATCACAATTCATGAATCCTACTGTACTCTCAAAAATAGACCACAATCCTTGACCTAATTTTGATTTGACAATCACTTGCATTTTACATAACGTACCACTTCACAAGCAGTAGATAACACAAAACCATTAACTATATATGTGATAAAACTTGTATAGCACTATGGTTTCATTCTTGTTTCCGACATTCAATATACAAAATCTGCTTGAGTTTGAAAGTTTAGATCAAAATTGATTGTGTTGGATTATCTGGCTCTGGACAACTGTATAGCTTCTTGGTCTACACTTGAATCTCCACCCCAAGTAAACTGGTGAGCAAAAAGCGTGAATTCTCTGTTCCTTGCTTGCTCAAGCTCCTCCCATTCAGCCCATCTCTCAGCCAGACCAATTCCATCCAGCATTTTCACTACTTCTGCCATTGTTGGGCGGTCTTCGGGTGAGCTCTGAGTGCAGAGTAGTGCAACTCGAACAATAGTCTCGACTTCTTTAGGATCGTAAATCTTCAAGTTTCCATCAACAATGTCATCAACCCTATTTTCTCTCAGCAGCTTTTTAATCTGTTAATATCACAATTTCATCAACCTAAAGAATCCTCATAAAAGCAAGAAGTTCAATAATATATGTTCCTTACATTGTTTATGTAATATTTATACATCAGGAGACATTACAACACAAACACACACATACCAACCAAATTTTTACTGTAAACAAAATGAAAAATAAATAAATAAATAAATAAAAATAAATATGGAAGAAAATGGAGAGGAAGTGTGGAGCTACGTAGGCAGTCATGACAAAGTTAGCTTCCGTAGGTCATCAAATAGCTTGGTGTTGGAAATTGGCAAAAGAATAAGTTCAAACTAGAAGATTTTTACATGCTTATGCCTGCCTTCAATAAAATAAATAAATAAGCATAGACATGAAGGTAAAACATTGTACTTCGTTGTACTAACAATTTGACCAAAGACACCATGAAAGGAACTTATGCTCAAAACCAGTAGGAAAAAGTGAAAAAGATAGACACGTAAATTAAATTCTTAGAAGTTATTTGGCTTAAATAGAAAAAAACTCATGAATTAAAATTAAATCATCATTTAAATTCCTATGATTTTATTGCAATAATTGAGTTCTTACACATCTACTTTTACCCAATTGAGTTATTAATTGAACAATGGTTAACCGTGGTCATAGCCACTTTGGACTCATGACCAATATTCATCCAATCAGGAGTTCAATTATATGAAAATAAATGTTTGAAAACTTCATTAATTACAATGAAATGATAAAAACTTGGATGATAATTTAATTTAATTCAGGTTTTTTTTTTTATAGTTAAGCCAAGTTATTTCGTAATTCTTTTTTCCTGCTCTAATCAGGGGTTTTCAAAACCATGTGCTGATCAATTTTTCCCTCAAAACCAGACAAAAGCCTTCAATTTGGGTAATATTTATTGTAGCCATGACATAGATTTGGTTCCCTACCACCGAATAAGCCCTGGAAGTTCTATTTTGATATGATAGATCTTTCTCCATGCATCTTTGGTTAGACGCAGTTGCACACGCAACACTCTCCAAATGCTTAGAGGGTTTTACAAGAGAAGTGGCAAACCCAGTTACACAAAGATGCTGGTTAAACATATTTTATTGAGAGTAACTAACTTCACAGTGCTCACAGAAAAAGAAAATTTTCTTTCAAGCAAAAATCAACGAGTATTAAGGTACCTAGAAGTATGAAACAGATAAACAAACAAGGATAAAAACTAAAAACCCAAAATCAAAATCAAAATCAAAATCCAAAGTCACAAAGAAAAAGCAGTTATTGCAGAGATCATATATTCATAAAAGATTTAGGAGAGGTGAAAAATTATTAAAATCTTACATGATCAAGTAGAAGAACATCCTCTTCCTCTTCTAGACGAGAAAAATCTATTGCATGCTGACCAGTAACAAGTTCCAAAAGCATTATACCATATCCAAAGACATCTGTTTTTTCAGAAGATTTTCCCGTGGACAAATATTCTGGGGCGATATGACCCATGGTACCACGCACTTGAGTGGTAACATGAGTCAATTTAGTATCAACAAGCTTTGCTAGCCCAAAATCTCCCAGAACAGCTTCAAAATTGTCATCTAAGAGGATGTTTGCAGCTTTTAAATCACGGTGTATTATCTTAGGATTGCAGTGCTCATGTAGATACTCCAAACCATGGGCTGCACCAAAAGCTACACGTTTTCTCATCGGCCAGTCCAAGCCTTTCTCTCCAGGTTTTAAATCTATAGAAAATTTCGAATGTAAAATATTATAAAATGACTATGACCGTTACAAGTACCACTAGACATTTCAAATTAAGTTAATAGTTTCTGTAAATCAAATATGGTTCGAGTCTCAACATCTTCTGCAATATTTGTCTAGCTTCTTCCTTTCTTTTACTTTTTCATGGTATAATTGATATTAATAGGTATTCTAAGGATCCTAAATATCATGAGCATTTTTGTCTGCCTGCCCTTCTTCCTCTAACTACAACCGTAACTTTCTTCTCCATTTAAGGCGCAAACTTAAATTTAGAACATAGTAAAAACAAACATGCATTAAGAGGCAACAAAAGATTAAATGCAAATCCTATAGGACAAGTACCTCTCAACTGATATGCCACACTTAAATTTTGCATGAAAGGATAAACAAGAATTCTTTCAGATGATGTGGTGCAGAACCCAATCAGCCGTAGAAGATTCTTATGAACAGCAACGCTTATGAGCTGAACTTCCCTTTGGAATGCAGCTTCTCCACCTGGACTATAATAATCTGCAAGACGTTTCACAGCGACCTTTGTGTTGTCAGAAAGGACACCTTTATAAACTTTTCCAAACCCTCCCTGTCCGATTTTGTTGCGCTCATTGAAATTGTCAGTTGCAAGTTGGATTTCACGCCATGAAAATCGCCTAAGCTGGCCAAAGGAACTTTTGAGGTTATCTTCACCTAAAATATAAAAATGAAATTGTTAATTTCTATAATACGCCTTACATGAAACAAAAAAAAAAAAATCAAATAGACTTTAGCAGGATTCTTATAATGCACACGGTGAGAAATAACATGCATAACATTGGAATGTAATATCTATCCCCATATATGGAAAACACACGTTCTAGCTTTATTGTTTAATTTATTTCTTATTTTAGGAAATCTGTAAATATTTGTATTTCTAGATTTAAGGATGGAAGATTAGACAATCCCTCAATCATAGGGACTAGTTTCAGGCAGATTTAGTTTTATATTTTATCTCTCAACAGCGGCTAGATATAGTCCTTAGGGCTTGTATCATTAGTGTAAGTTTCTTCTTCACTACAACACTCTGATTTTCCATACCTATAATTTTGACTTTGATCATGGGATGAAGAAAATTATGAAATGATAGAGAAAATAATGGCTGAGATTAAACACAATGATTCAGGAAAAAAAAATGATTAGTTTACAATATGACAGTTATGTTTTCTCTCTTCCATCAATCTAAGATTGATTCAATGATGCCACTTGCAAAGAGTGAAACTACTAAAGAATGTACACACGTATAGAAGGTGGAATTTGTGAGGTCTCTTTGCAAAATTTGATCGCAAGATAAAGTGTTGCTTATATAGGTTGGAAGGAAGTGGAAGCGGAGATTGTGCCTGCAGAAGTTGGAGAGATTAAGCGTGAAGAAGTCCACCCTTACTAATGCAAGTGAGAAATTTGGTCCATGAATGGTGGTGAAAAGGAAATCACAATCACCAAAAAGAAAGGTTATAAATTCCTCTAAATCAGAGAACGGTAAAACTAACCCCCAGAGTGCAAGATTTTGTGTTTCTGATTAGTTCACGAGTAAAATGATGGTAGTGAGGCACCTTAATTACAAGACAACAGACGAGGTTGGTCAGCAGTTATTCAAAAAGAGGCGGACAAACATCTTGTAATTTGGAATGGGTAGAGAAATCATGATAAGGTCGGACCTTATACCATATCTAGTGCCCATTGGGATAGGGAAAGAACAAGTCACGAGGATCCTCTGCTAGGCTAAGGAGGGGTCCAACAAATTTGCGTATGGTTGGAACAAGTCCTTCATGGGAAAAGTCCTGCACTCAGTAGAAAATGTAGTGGAACAAAATGATGTTGGATTGTTTTCACAAAAACACAAGGTTAGTTGCTCTTCCCATCCCAAGGCCCAAGGATTGGTCAGGAACAGGACGGTGACTACAGCAATAGTTTTAGAGCACTTCAAGTGAGTTTCATTGAGGAGTAGTTTGAACATGGTCTTGCATATGTTAGTACTAAGAATGGTATCATAATAGTGAGAAAAAGAAGGTAAGAAGTGATTCTTCTTATAGTAAGGAAGGTTCTGAGCTACTGCTAGGGAAGCTTAAACTTGGTTTCCTTTTTCTAAAGTCAGGACTTCAAACTGAAAAGGGGTGGCAAGTGCCCCTTTTAGCAAAGCTTGAAAAGAGTTGATAGAAACTCTTAAGCCTAAGCTTCTAAGGTGCTTTCATGCTGGAAGAAAAGCATCTAAGTTTTCTCGTTTTATCTTCTCTACTCTATCACAAAGTTATGGTTTTGTTTAGGATTATTAGATTTATCTTTTGATCAATTTTGACTTTTCTTTTTAGCATTTGCTGTTTTTCTTTTACTTTATAGCATTTTTTAGGAAGCTAAAAGCAAGTATCAAAAGTGACAAACAAAAACTGAGCGTGAATAGTAGTATTAACTACTTATCAAAAGTGGCAAGCCAGTATCAAAGGTGTTTAACCTTGATTGTTGGGTCAAGGTCATGAATATTCAAGATTACAGAATACATGAACATTCAAGCTTGCACTCAATGGCACATTTCCTTCCATATAATACATGAACATTCAAGATTACAGAATATATGTTCTTCATCCCACTTATTCTTCCTTTTGAAGTTATAAGAATTTCTAAAAAAATCTAACATCACCCCACTACTCTTTGAAACTACAACAATTCTTACATCAAGGTCATGATTCCATTAATGTTTGGATCTTCTAGAGCAGCTAATCTTTTGTTTTTTACTTTTTCAATTTTTATGCAGCACATGTATGTTTGCATTGGAGAGGAGCCTTGGCGCACCGTTAAGGTTGCTGCCATGTGACCTGAAGGTCACTGATTCGAGTTGCAGAAACAGTTTCTTTTGAAAATAAAAGGTAAGGCTGCGTACATTAGATCCAATGGGTCTGACCCTTCGCCAGACCCGCACATAGAGGGAGCTTTACGCACAGGCTGCCCTTTTTTACATGTATGTTGGAATCAGGGGACACCAAGTAGGAACAATTAGTTCCGTTTTCTGAGGCTTGATATTTTACAATCAAAGGCATGAGGAAGCTAACTACTCCATTTATCAATTTTAACTAGACAAATATGTTGTAAAGTATGACGTGAAAAATACCTATTCTCATGGAAAGTTGCTGCATGGATTACTAACCCTAAAAACAGAGTAATTGATCTTCGAAAGTGGGAAAAGACCATGAATTAGGTATATTAGGTTGAAATGGCATATTTTGTGAATATTGTACTTGCAAACTAAGAAACTTTTATGGCTGAAATACATCTTAGGGAAGACAAAGAATTAAAAAGAACAAGAAAATTACCCGCAACATCAACAAAAGCATCACGCCTAAGTTTGTGGACTTGATAGTACCGGGACACAAACAGAGCCCCAAGTGATAGAAGTATGAGAGCACCACAACTAGCGGAGGCTACAACAATTCTAATTTTAGACCTGTTGGTTGAAACTGCCAAAACACCACAAGTTCAAGCAAATATATAACACGTATGAAATGTATATGGCAAAAAAGCTGGTCTAGAAACAAACCATGGAGTGTAGTGGTTGAAACACAAGGTTGATCCAAGCTTGAGCCACAAGCAAGATATGTTCCTGTGTAGCTGAAAAAATAACACTGTCAATAGGAATAAGTAGCAAGTGGCAAGTTGTCTAATTCATGGCTATAACATAAAGCAAGCGAGAAATGCCGAACATCCAATCTGATTGAGACTTTGCTTTGACATAAGCAATGTGCAGAGACCACTAAATTTCAGAGTATATTTGCTCTCTTGATGCATGTCAGAATTGGAATTAAGTTAACTTCATATTTAAAGACTACAAATTGAAGTGGAATATTTCAGAATATATATAAAATTTTTGCTAGTGATGGATTGACTAATTAAATTCTCCGCTGGAAAACCATTTTATATCATGATTCACAGCAATACATTCAAGGAACAATAAGTTCTTCAAGGTTTCACATCTTTGCAATTCCTTTGTATTGTTATCATAAGTCTAGTGCTGATAGATGAATCTCAAGTTAAGTCAATGATCTTGGCATTCTCTGTATTTTTGCTAGAAGAATATTTCGAATGCGTCTCAAATCTACATTGTTTTATTAGCCTGATTAATGGATTATATACTAAAACTATCATTTCAAAAGCAACTGTGAATTTCAAGAATGTCTTGAAATTGGAAAAAATGTTCGTAACTTATAAGCAAGCAGTCAAGAAGGCATTATAGGTAATATCATAATCATATGCCAGAAATTTTCAATAATCAAGCTATTCATTAAAGTTAAACTTCTTTCATCTATCAAAATATTTTAAATATAGTAAAGAGCATTAGTTTCACCGTGGAATTGAAGTTAAATATTTTCATCTATCAAAATTTTTCCGACTCTAGGAAGCAAATTAGTAGAGTTTAATGGAGATAGCATTTCTTATGAAGTTTAATTGATTGTTGGAACCAAAAATAATTGCCTTGGAATTCTTCCACTTAAATTGTTGGATGAGAGATCCCTGTCAAATAAAAAGATTTATGAGCAGTACTTATGAAGTCAATTTAGCATACAAGCAAAGACCCAAAAAGAGAATAAAGTAGAGAAATAAAGACCACCGATACAAGATGTAGATACAGGTTCCATAATGTTTACCAAACAAGAATTTCATGATTTGAATGGAAGTAGACTTATAAATGGTTCTCACTAAATACCAAAACTTATAGATAATATTAGCAAATCTTGTTCTAAAAAACAATAGTGAAACTGAGAAAAGTAGACCTTGTGTTCTCCACTTTGGTTATGAGAACGGGAATAACAGAATTCGACAGCAAGAATAAAGCAGTCTTACAAATGCTTTGAATTGGAGAGTTGACCCCAATTTTCTGGAATAGAACCAATGAATTTATTATTTGCAAGATTCAGAGTTTCTAGGTGCAACATATCACCAAGAAAATCAGGCAGCAAACCAGATAGATCATTGTTTTGTAAATCCCTGCAAAAGTAGGCTAGCGTTTTTAAGGCCCCCATTCACCACCATGGATTAGAATTATGCTAAACTATTAAGTGTTTAAAATTAGAGTATGGCATGAGAAACAAGCATATAATAACAGAATTCATTGTCTAAAAGGCACATTTAATATAGTTCAGTTATCAACAAAAACACCTCTCATGTGCAAATTCTAGTGCATATACCATCAGAATTTTTGTTGTTTCTTTCAGTCTACTGGAACCAAATCACACACAAAGCGGATGTTACCCAGCTTTACCAAATTTCTTATGATGCTCAGAAATATTGAGGAAACTGAAAACTGAAGACATCCTAAATAAGAACAATAAATCACAAAGATTCTGATGCACTAAAAAGGATTTTCCATCTCCATTATGCAGATAGCTCCAAAAGATGGAAATATGCCTCGCGTGATAAAATATAATAATTGAAATGATAATTAAGTATTGCTGAATTAATAAGCAAGTTTTCTTTGCAAATAATAAGCACTTTCAAAAATGCTTCACTGGAAGCGGGAGGAGGGGGGTGCCATGAATTATATACAATAGATGACTAACACATAGTTGCGCACATACATAGAGAGAATGAACACATTTCCAAATCTAGAAACCTACTAATAAGGAAACCAGTAGTGTAAAGTGTGAAAAAAAAAAAAAAAAGGAAACAAGAAAAGATTGACCACAAGCTTGGATTACTCTTTCCAACTAAATTTTCTAGACAGTCAAAAGATAAGATTTCTATTCCTAATAAGCTCCAGGGCAACTAAGCAGTAATATCTTCTTACCAAATGACTGAAACCAGATCTCTATCCCTCAACAACAGACAAGAAACTTTAAAACCATCTTAGACCATTCAAAATAATCCAATGAAAGTCAAAAGGAGTGATATTGATTGGAACATGACTTATAATCAACTGAGAAGAAGTGGATTGCTGCCACATCCTTATTACACCAGCCAAATTGGGGAAACTCCCTCATACCAACTATCTTGCACAGCTTTAAAATGTAAATTAAACTAAAACGGTTCAGTTCTAATAAGCCTCCAACCTAACATGTCATCCTAAACATCAAGTCAAAAACTAGACAGCAACCAGATATGATCTTCAACCGGAATATCGCAGCTACAGATTGTCAAAGCCAAGAAAAGGAAGGTTTAACCTTTAATTTGCCAGATTCATAATGGTCCCTCATCAGTTGGCACAAGAAAATCTCCCTTAATTTTTCATTGAAGATATCTTTCCATCTACCTTTGAGACAGAATCTCAAATGGAAACAGATGAGTCAGAACTTCCTCAGATCTTTATGACAAAACCAACAATTGAAGTTCCAGAAGATAATCCAGAAGTACACAACCTTGATGCAATAATACTGAACAACACCCTTCTCCACAACGGACATATGTTCTTCCCTCTACATCAAAGTTCTCAGTCTTTACAATTGATGATATTCCTCCTTCAAAATGTCCTTCAAGGTTCCAAGAATTACTAGCATGGGGATTAGTTGAATTGAACTCCAATCCCAATGTTAAGATGAACACAATCTTGATCAGATTTGTTCCCAAATTAGTTGGAACTCTGAAAAACTTTTGGGACAATATTGGTGAAAACAAACAACTACAGTTTCTCCAATGCCCAACAATTACAGAAGCTGTATCTCAATTTTCAGCAATAATCTGAGGCCAAGATTCCCACAAACTTGAAAAGATCAGAGAACAATTCTTCAAGCTAAAATGTTGTTCCCTCCATCCAAAAGATCTTGACAGACACTATCAACAATTCTCTCAGTATTTCTACATACTTGATGGATTTGATGACATCAACTTAAAGCAAACTTTTCTAAACTCTATTCTAGAAGAACTTGCACAACAAATAAGGACACAACTAAACCTGAAATCTCTTAATGTCAGATCCATGAACTTTGGTGATATCTACAAAATGATGTTAAAAGCCCTTGACAAGATTTGCAAAGAGCACAAATACATTACAAATTTGGTGAACAACTCTAGAAAGTTAGAAAAACCTTGCTGTTATTCCTTATCTGTACTCCAGTTCAAATGTTCTTCCAAGGACTCTACATGTCTTTGCAATCACGAATAAAAGAAACACATAAGAAGATTTAGACCTTTCAGATATTCACAATTCTTTAGACACAAAAAATTGTTCAGACAGTCAAAAAAGCCCAAAAGATTCCAAAGATTCAAGTTTGGTAGAAAAAAGAGAAACCCAAAGATTAAAGGCACAAAATGTTTTCTCTGTGGAAAACAAAGACATTTTGCAAAGAACTACCCAAAGTAGCCAAAATATCAGTAAAGATGATACAAGATATTGCTAATATCTCAGGTATTAATCTTTTATATTATGATCTTGAATCAGTCTTCTCCTTTGATGATAAGCAGAATGAAAGATCATTGTTTATGATCAAGCAGTTTGATGATGATGATATTTCAGATTCAAACTCAGATTATTCCTTAGATGATCAATGTTATAAGTACATGTTAGTCTAAGAACTTTAAAAAATTCAAACCCTTTAACCTCTAAAATTACCTTTAGCCCCAGTACAAATTTTCCCTCATAAACACTCTCATCCCATAATAGTCACTGCATTCTTTAACACTGGTGCAGCCCAAACCATAGCTAATCCCATTCTATTACCCAAAAACCTTTGGACAAAACAAAAAACTTTATTTAAAACTGTTGATGAGAATGTATTTTTTATAGACTTTATTAGCAACCCTGTTACCCTTCAGATTTCTTTAGGCTGTCAAATAACTCAAAAGATTTTAGGATCTTCACTTCCTCAAAAAGACCTTGTTATTGATTTTGATGTCATTACTAGTATACCAGGCTTAAGACTTAATGAAAAAAGCATAAAGTTTGAAAGTTATTTTAGACCTTAGAAAAACTTTCCCAATCTTTTCATCCTGACCATTCATATAGATTTCTTCCAAGAATTTCAACAAATATTCATTCATATTTCTTATACAGAAAATCATTCAAAATTTCTCTAGAAATGCAACCACCCTCTTTGGAAAAACTTTGAATTTTTCATTACCCTTTCTTTCAAAAAAGATGAAAATGCTAACCCTACAAAAACCAACCATTCAGGCATGAACCTAGATCATTTCATGCTAGCAACCCAAGAATGTTCCCTTCCCCAAGCTCAATGATTAATTGAACCAACCTCTTTTCTATGGGCATGTGAAGCTTTTTATATCAACAAACATTTAGAACAAGTTCATGAAAAATTAAAATTGGTGATTAATTACAAGTCATTCAACAATCTCCTTGCAGATGACAAGTTTCCCCTTCTAGACAGAAAAACTTTATTTGCAAATTTGTCAAATGCAAAAGTCTTCCACAATTTAACCTGAAAGCAAGATTCTGACAATTAGGTATACATCCATAAGACAGATACAAAATGATATTTTACATCCCTCAACATCATTTTTAGTGACAACCTTTTGGTTTAAAAGTAGCTCATTCCCTATTCCAAAAAGCAATGACGAAGATATTTATTCTTATTCTTGATAATACATTGATTTGAATTGATGATATCTTATTGTTCTCTCCAGATGTCACATCTAATGCATAATTATTGGATAAGTTCTAACAGATTGTTCAACAGTATGAGATAATACTATCAGAGGAAAAGATAATCATTGATGCTATAGAAATTAATTTTTTAAGCATGCATTTGAAAGATGGATAGTACATAGTTCAACCTCATATTACAAAAACCCTTGTAGATTTCTCTAATGAAAATGTTTGCAAGATGCAAGTACAATAATTCTTCAATGTAGTAAACTACATGAGTGAATTCCTCTCAGATCTTGCATAGTTAACTCATCTTTTTAGATAGATGTTGAAGAAAAAACTTTCAAAGTGGTCTCAACAATAAACAAAAGCAATATAGACATTGAAGATAAGCGCGCAGTCACTTTTCACTTTAAATATTCTTTCTTATAAAAAAAAAAGATATTGTAGATAGATGTAAGTGATAAATTTTGGTCGACAACCTTTTAGAAGAAAAAGATGGAACAAGAAAAATATGTGGTTACAAAAGTGGTAGATTCATAGATTCAAAACTCCATTATCACTTTACACTAAAAAAATTTTTAGCTGTAAAGTATGAAATTCAAAGATTTGAATTTCATCTCATTAGATACCATTTTCTTGCGAAACTAGATATATCAACTTTTGATCAGATGCTTAATTTTTTTAAAAAATAGATGTCAAATGCATAGTTGCTCAAACTTTCTCAGTGGTTGTCAAAGTATTCTTTGACCATAATGTATATAAAAGGTAAGGACAATATCCTCCCAGATATACTAACCAGACCTCTTTTCAAATCTTTTTCAAATTTCTTGGAGATTATTCTAGTCATTTTCATGATGATTCTTTTACCCTCACCTTTCTTCTTTCCGGCCCCTTAATCATTGATAAATTTTTTTCTCTACCCTCACATGTATCAGTCAGAATATCAACCCTTTATCCCAAACCTCACTTTTAAACTTGTGTTCCCAATCAACACTCTTCTTTCTAAAATTCAACAAATCATTGTCCAAAAAACTATTAAAAGTCATGCTCAAGATCTAATCTTCAAAATGCAAGCTATCCTCATCTAAAAATGAGCAAATCATGGCCTTAGACCTATTGGACTTCATCTTAAGTATCATTTTCTACATTTGTTCCAAATTCCCCATACTACCATATTATTCAAAGAAGTATTGGTGCTATTATGGTATTTATGCCAACTCTACACCATAGCCATTGAGTTTAACTCTTTTGAACTTTATCTTGCTACTGTGACTTTGTTCAATATCGATTACCTGCATGAAAAAGATATTATCCTTGGTAAATTTTTGAAATTGTTCAAACCCCTACACAAATAGTGTAACCTCACCAAACACCTTCCACCATCCTACAATGTCATTTTCATGTTCACAAACCTTGCCAAATCTATGATGGTTTTGCTCTTTTTGAAACA